TCCTGTAAACGAGATTGTAGTTTTTTTATGTGTTTTTCATGCAATGAATCATGGGTAATATTTAGGTGAATCCCCAACTTAATGAAGGTTTTTCTATCTCACCTACTGAAGAGCTCGCTATCCTAGCTAGGATCGGTAGCTCAAGTTAGGACAGGGATAGGATCGTTTCGAGAATGGGTCTTGTCCTAACGGTAGGAAGTCCTAACTCCTGTCCTTAACTAGTTAGGATGTCTTAGCTGGGACACTTTCGAGAATAGGCACCCTGGGTGGATGACTGAAAAAAATAGCATGCTGGGTACAATGTGGTCGGCATGTGTTTGTGGGAATGTTCTACATTGTCCTACACTGTTCAATGATTGAAGCAAGAAGGAATATTTGACTGTTGTGTTTGCCTGTTTTTGTTTGTTGTTCAATGCTGCATTTAGCAATATTCCAGCTATACAACGGTGGTCTGTAAATAACCAAGTATGGACCAGACAATCCTGTGATCAACATCATGAGCATCTTTCAATGCAACTGGGATACGATGACATGTGTCAACAAAGTCAGTAAGCCTCATCTCCTGATCCTGCTAGCCGCCTCTTACGACAAGCATGGGTTGCTGAAGACCAATTCTTACCTGGATCTTCACAGGATGTTGTGTAGGAATAAATCAAATATGTAATTTTTATGATAAAATTGATATTTTATACTTATCCTGACTCATGCTATGTTGCCTATCTCCCTTCTCCTTTCGACGGTTACATGGAAACTTGAATCCCTAGTTTCCCTTAAGAGAACGTAAAATCACTCACCCACGAGTTGCCTCCATTTTCCCATCAAAAGCCGAGCTCTCATCACTCTCTCCTGAATAAACCTACACTAGGGCCTACAGTGAATCCCGTAGTTCTGAGACGGATGGGCGGGTCCTTTAGATCATGAGTCAGGATAAGTATAAAATATGAATTTTATCATAAAAATTAGATATTTTCCCTTATACCCTGACTCATGCTATATTGCTAACCGAATCCAACAGAATAGGTTCTTGTTGAGGCTTCCAAAAATCCTGATGTCAATCGGGGACCACCTTCTCTTAAATCAATAGAAGTTCTTACAGATTTTGTGGATTTTAGATAATCTAGTACGCCTCGATGTCTAGTTATCTAGAACGATCCATATGTTAAGGTAAGGACTATTACCGAAACTGAATCGCGACCCATATGTTAGACAAGGACTATGACCAAAACTGAGTCTAAATCACTCATGCGGATACGTCTTTTGTAGCAATGTCTTGAAGATAGTGGTTTCCAAACACTGTGTCCGATTTCCAAAAGCAGCCTCCCATGATGGATGATAAAGAGCAATTCCCAAGTAGTGGGAGTGTCGAGGCTAATGCTCTAACTTCGTGTGAGTTGGAGGCTCTAGGAGGATGCTTTGAAAGCTCGTAGGAGGACAGCTCTTATCCAAAACGAGAGAGTAGTTCGGGAGACTTCAATAATTGTGTCGGGTGATAGTGGGATAAAGAGACGCTTAAACTTTCTCCTTCTTGTAGCAGTCTGTTGTAAGTAGATTTTCAAAGCTCTGACTGGGCAGAGGAACAAATCTTCTGTATCTTGTGGTCCAAGGACCGTAGACAATGCTGGGACGTAGAATTGTCGATCTTGTTGACTAGGTAGCTGATTCTTTGCTATGACGTCCCATCTGAGACCCAAGTGGACTGCTGTATGCTCTCCGGAGACTCGACCTAGTTCTGTATTTCTGACAATCTAGCTGCTGTAGCTAAGGCGAGGAGGAATAATTTCTTCTGAGTTAACAGCTCAAAAGTTGTGTCTCTCAATGGTTCATAGTCATCGCTGATAAGATGTTGCAGCACTATGTTGAGGTCCAATGCTGGAGCTCTAAACATTTGCTGCTGGTCTTCTAGTGTAAATTACCTCAATAGAGTGTCGATTTCAGGTACTTTGGTGAGTTTGACTCCCGTATCCATGGTGATGACAGAGCTGATCGCCGCCAAGTATGTTGAGAGTGTATATCCCTTCAGGTGTCTACTAGCCCTTAGATGACATAAATATTCTGCTACTTGAGGATGTGTAGCTTTCACAGCCGAAAATCCTTTGCGTGAAGCAAACTGGTCGAAACTCCACTTATCATCATAGAGGTTCCAAGTTGGAAATCAAGTTCTCGCTGGCCAGTAGGGTGCGACCAAAATCAGTCGTATGACATGGTCTGGGCGATCTTGTGTAGAAATTGAGGTAATAGGATCGGTGGTGAGAATGCGTACGCATTCAGTTCCTCCCAAGATATGGCTAGAGCGTCGAGAGCCCATGCTTGTGGATCTGGTACTGGTGAGACGAACGTTGCAATCTGATAGTTGAAGCATGTCACAAAAGAAACACAATTATGGGTTTTGTTTCAAGTGTAATTAGCCATGTGGCCGAGGAAATTCCAAAGGGGAGGACCCTCCACTGGTAGTGGTGCCTTTGATACAGGAATCGTACATACTTCCTCGAGGCTGGATGTATAGGGATGTGCAGATCTTGTAGATCTATGCTGGCTAGGTAGTCGTTGGGTCTGATTAGATATCACAATTGTGGTAAGTGCAGCATCTTGAATTTGTCAGGTTTTAGTACATAGTCTAGTTTGAAACGCTTCATATTGTAGATTAGGCGGAACTCTTCCTTGGAGTTCTTTTTCGGTACTAGGATAAAGCCTGGAGTGAGACTGCGTTGATTTAGGATTTCTACAGCATTTTTCACTAGCAGCGAGTCAATGGCCTCTGTCAACTTGATCCGTTGTAGTTCGGGGTATTGATATACCTGTGGATTGACAGTAAGAGGTGCTGTTGCCTTGAGCTGAATCTCGTATCCTTCACGCAACACATGTAGGACGTAGTCGTCTTTCAGCATTATCCAATTTTTCCAGTAATACCCTAGAAGTCCACCCACGGTTGATGGTTGTACAGGAACGGGTGGGGGTGGAACGGACCAATCGTTCTGAACCTGATCTTCACTGACGAGAGGAACGGGAGAACCCCGATGAGCGGACTCTCCCGGATCGTCCACTTCAGTTAAAGGATGAGCGGTGAAAATTGACAGATTTGCCTCAAGTTGTTGATCAAGGCTACGTTGATGGCCCAGGATCTAGCCAGCCCGAAGAAGGTCAATCCCGTAGTCGTGTCTAAATTTGCCAGCTTTTTATATTCCACTCTATAGCTGCTTGACTTAGAGTCGCTGAGGAGATGAAAGTCATCGTCTATTTCCGGCGCTCTGAAGAAACGCTCCATATTGTGCAAGGGAAATTTTCTCCCATTAAATGCCGGAGTATGTTGCCCTTGAGATTTGGTAGCATTCACGAATGCTGACTTGAGGTTAGATGGGACCTTGAATGGAGTCGCCGAGAGATTCCGTTGGGAGTAGAGTGGTAAAGAGGAATATGTGATTCTGTTGCACGTTCTTGTTGTTGCATGGCTGAAAAGACTTGTCTGATAATGTTTGTCACAAAGTCCTGATCCAACTGTAGCCTGTCATTCTACGGATGGTTCGCGAACGCTTATTGGAGGTCGTTTGTGTAGATGGGTTCGCGAATGCATTCGTGAATTATATATTTCTCTGTGCAGGTAGAGATACAGTAGACTGACTGCTGGTTGACTGGTTCGCGAATCCTTTCGCGAATTGGGTAAAACGTGTGTAGAATCAGTGATGGGTTCGCGAACACTTTCTCAGAATGTGTGGAGACACGGGTAGATTCAGTAGACTGAGGTGTAGCTGGTTGATTGTTGGCTGACGGGTTCGCTAACCCTTTTGCAGATCATGTCGAGTTGACTGACGGGTTCGTGAACCCTGATGGTGTGGAGGAAGATCTACTTTGAGATGACTCCTATTTTCCTCGATGCTGGAACAGTTGATGGTTGTTTTGCGAACCTGTGTTCGCGAACCTTGAGGTGTTAGTTGTTGTTGTCTTCTGTGAAGTTATCACACTTATCTGCAGTTCGAGAACCGGTGGTGATGTGTCTGTATCATCTAATGCCGTCAAGGCATTCTCAAACGATGTAGTCTAATTGGGAGACTTCGTTGGTCTAGTAGATCTAGATGAATGATGTGATGATGTTGTCTTAGACGTAGATGATTTCTTAGACGACTCAGATGATCTTAACCAGCCTCTGTAGTTCAGTCTCTTCCCTAAGAGGGACTTCCCCTCTTAGGAAGAGGAGAGGTTAAGATCATCTGAGTCGTAACTGTCTCTGTAAGAGCGACAGAGACGGGAGAGACCCCGGAGGGAATCTCCAAAAACATTTCAGACAACTCACACTCACACTCAGATGTGTGAGAGCAACCCTTATCTGCAGCTGCCCTGCTGTCATGATAGTTTGACTCCATGACCTTGCGTAAACGTGCTAATAAATATTAACTAAATTGAAATTGGTATAAATGTGCACAATATTTACAGAGTGAGACTAAGAAACACGAATTATTGAAGAACACACAGGGAGTGGATCAACTGCTGACATACATAGCCTGCATTGTCAACATGCTACCATGTGTACACAGTCATCTGAAATGGAGTGTGAAAATTCAAAATTAGTAGAAATTTACATAATTTAATACATCGTTATGATTATATAAATAAAGTATATAAATACAACTCACGGCCTTAATTTGGATTGACAGGCTGAAATAGCAAACATATTAGCCCTAAATGGGACCCATAGTGACCTCCGAACCATCTGCTTGGGACGCTTTTGGCGGGAAAAGGGAGGCAACTTGTAAGTGGGTGATTTTTTCAGTCTCTTCAGGGAACTAGGGATTCAAGTTTCCATGTAACCGCTCGAAAGGAGAAGGGAAATAGGCAACATAGCATGAGTCAGGATGAGAAAAAATTCAAGTTATATTTCACTATATAAGAATATATAATAAAAGCATAAATATTTGAATAAAGTGAAATTACAATTCAATTTTTCCTGCCATGTTCATGACAAATTCATCAAAACCTGTATGGGTTTTGGAAATATACTGTCTCCTTACTGAATTGAGGCGTAGACGTCCTTGATTGTGTCTGACCTTGGCAATAAAGAAATGTGTCTTCTCTTGACAGTCTCGAACTGGATCGCTGATTCCATCAGGAAATGGAAAGGTCACTGTAATGTGAAGAAGACATTTGTCAAAACATTTTGTCAGACTTTCAGATATCTCAAGCATAGTCCATAAATCTCACCAGATACATTCAAAGTGAAATGATTGTGATCAGAGGTAAAATCTTTGATTATTATCACATAATGAGTATATGGCTGTTAACTGGATGTGTTTTTCCTTTGGCCTCAGTGCAATTGTCTCTACACTATGTTAACTATATCCACAGATGAGTTGGTTGTCATCAGGCTGAATGCAGGTGCAGTCTACAAGAATTACATACACAATCAGTTCAATCACCATGATACTCTACAACAATTGAATTCCTATCAAAGACGGCAGTTTCATTTTTAATTAAAATCTTATGATTTAATGTAAATGTTAATGTAGTTTACTAACAAAGTATGTGCTCATTGAGATTCCGTTTCTGAAAAGATAACGGTATGATTGAAGACTAAATAATATCTAACTCCCTAACAAAGAACAAAAAGTCCAGCAATCAGATCTAATGGGTCCTAATGGCAGGTGTGATGAGATTCTGGAACACTTGGATGTTAGAAAGGTTTGGGTCAATTTTGCATTTTGCAGCCAATGTCGGGTAAAATCACCTTTTGCAGTAGGACATTAATGTGCAAAAAACACTCATGAAGATGTTTCCATATTCAACGCCTTCAGTCGGGAGTGAACTTCAATTCATGACATACGTCTTGTACATACATCATTATGTGTTTTATATTGTGGGATGACATTTTGACGTCATTTTCTGCCATCATTTTGACTAATCTCTCCTTGGGCATCCAGAGCAGAGTAATGCTGTAATTAGTTGCTTTTTCAATACTGTTGTGGTAGCCATATTGAAAATCAGAAGGATGTAAAAATCAGAAAACGGAAACGAGCATGTTAATTTTCAGTTTCAATGGTGTAGTTGTCTCAAAAGAGAAGTTGCAGTGCAAGGACATGAATTTCCAGTGAACCCCAAAACATGGTCAAAGTGCAAAGATCAAAGAGTACACAAATTTCCATTGCATTTTGAATAAAATTGGCTTTGTATAAGATCACAAATAGGATAGTACACACATGGCTGCCATGGTGTCCATACTGAATAATGAAGTGGAACCTTTTGCACACTTCTAGCAATGAAATTATAACATCATCAGTTCTGCAGTAAAACCTGTTGACACACAATGGCAGTGACAGACACAGACAGTGGACTTAAAGACCATACCATAAGTCCAGTAGGTCTGCAGTCCACATGAGTTAAAAACAGCCATGACATGAGCCCAATGGATCTGCAACCATGACATGAGTCCAGTGGGTGTGCAGTCCATGTGAGTTAGAAACAGCCATGACATTAGCCCAGTGGGTCTATAGCCATGACATGAGTCCAGTGAGTCTGCAGCCATGACATGAGCCCAGTGGTCTGCAGCCATGAAATGAGCCCAGTGAGTCTACAGCCATGAAATGAGCCCAGTGAGTCTACATCCATCACATGAGTCCAGTGAGTCTGCAGCCATGACATGAGCCCAGTGGTCTGCAGCCATGAAATGAGCCCAGTGAGTCTACAGCCATGACATGAGCCCAGTAAGTCTGCAGCCATGACATGAGCCCAGTGAGTCTACAGCCATGACATGAGCCCAGTGAGTCTACAGCCATGACATGAGCCCAGTGGGTCTACAGCCATGACATGAGATCAGTAAGTCTGCAGCCATGACATGAGCCCAGTGAGTCTACAGCCATGACATGAGCCCAGTGAGTCTACAGCCATGACATGAGCCCAGTGAGTCTGTAGCCATGACATGAGCCCAGTGAGTCTGTAGCTATGACATGAGCTCAGTAAGTCTGCAGCCATGACATGAGCTCAGTGAGTCTACAGCCATGACATGAGCCCAGTGGGTCTACAGCCATGACATGAGATCAGTAAGTCTGCAGCCATGACATGAGCCCAGTGAGTCTACAGTCATGACATGTGCTCAGTGGGCCTACAGCAATGACATGAACCCAGTGGGTCTGCAGCAATGACATGAGCCCAGTGAGTCTGCAGCCATGACATGATCCCAGTGGGTCTACAGCCATGACATGAGCTCAGTGGGTCTACAGTCAAGATATGAGCTCAGTGGGTCTGCAGCCATGACATGAGCTCAGTGAGTCTGCAGCCGTGACATGAGCTCAGTGAGTATGCAGCCATGACATGAGCCCAGTGAGTCCGCAGCCATGACATGAGCCCAGTGAGTCTGCAGCCATGACATGAACCCAGTGAGTCTGCAGCCATGACATGAGCTCAGTGAGTCTACAGTCATGACATGAGCTCAGTGGGTCTGCAGCCATGACATGAGCCCAGTGGGTCTGCAGCCATGACATGAGCCCAGTGAGTCTACAGCCATGACATGAGCCCAGTGAGTCTACAGTCATGACATGTGCTCAGTGGGCCTACAGCAATGACATGAACCCAGTGGGTCTGCAGCAATGACATGAGCCCAGTGAGTCTGCAGCAATGACATGAGCTCAGTGGGTCTGCAGCCATGACATGAGCCCAGTGGGTCTGCAGCCACGCTAGAGCCCAGTGAGTCTACAGCCATGACATGAGCTCAGTGGGTCTGCAGCCACGACATGAGCCCAGTGGGTCTACAGCCATGACATGAGCCCAGTGAGTCTGCAGCCATGACATGAGCTCAGTAAGTCTGCAGCCATGACATGAGCCCAGTGGGTCTGCAGCACATGACATGAGCCCAGTGAGTCTGCAGCAATGACATGAGCTCAGTAAGTCTGCAGCCAGCCATGACATGAGCCCAGTGAGTCTGCAGCCATGACATGAGCCCAGTGAGTCTACAGCCATGACATGAGCTCAGTGGGTCTGCAGTCCATGACAGTTAGAAACAGCCATGACATGAGTCCAGTGGGTCTGCTGCCGTGACATGAGCTCAGTGGGTCTACAGCCATGACATGAGCCCAGTGCAGTCCTGCAGGCATGACATGAGCCCAGTTAGTCTGCAGCCATGACATGAGCCCAGTGAGTCTGCAGCCATGACATGAGTCCAGTGGGTCTACAGTCCATGACATGAGCCCAGTGAGTCTGCAGCCATGACATGAGCCCAGTGGGTCTGCAGCCATGACATGAGCTCAGTGAGTCTACAGCAATGACATGAGCCCAGTGAGTCTGCAGCCATGACATGAGCTCAGTGGGTCTGCAGCCATGACATGAGTCCAGTGGGTCTTCAGCCATGACATGATCAGTGGGTCTGTAGCATGACATGAGGCCAGTGAGTGTGCAGCCATGACATGATCAGTGGGTCTACAGCCATGACATGAGTCCAGTGGGTCTAAAGTCAAGACATGAGCTCAGTGGGTCTGCAGCCATGACATGAGCTCCAGTGGGTCTGCAGTCATGACATGAGCTCAGTGGGTCTACAGCCATGACATGAGCCCAGTGGGTCTGTAGCAATGACATGAGCCCAGTGAGTCTACAGCCATGACATGAGCCCAGTGAGTCTGCAGCCATGACATGAGCTCAGTGGGTCTGCAGCCATGACATGAGGTCAGTGGGTCTGCAGCCATGACATGAGCCCAGTGGGTCTGTAGCAATGACATGAGCCCAGTGGGTCTGCAGCCATGAAATGATCCCAGTGGGTCTACAGCCATGACATGAGCCAGTGGGTCTGCAGCCATGACATGAGCCCAGTGAGTCTACAGCCATGACATCAGCCCAGTGGGTCTACAGCCATGACATGAGCTCAGTGAGTCTACAGCCATGACATGAGCCAAGTGAGTCTGCAGCCATGACATGAGCCCAGTGGGTCTACAGCCATGACATGAGCTCAGTGGGTCTGCAGCCATGACATGAGCCCAGTGAGTCTACAGCCATGACATGAGCCCAGTGGAGTCTGCAGCCATGACACATGAGCCCAGTGAGTCTACAGCCATGACATGAACCCAGTGAGTCTGGCCATGACATGAGCCCAGTGAGCCTGCAGTCCATGTGAGTTAGAAACATCCATGCCATGAGCCCAGTGGGTCTGTAGCCATGCCATGAGCCCAGTGGGTCTACTGCCGTGACATGAGCTCAGTGGGTCCATGACATGAGCAGTGAGTCTGCAGCCATGACATGAGCACAGTGAGTCTGCAGCCATGACTTGAGCTCAGTAAGTCTGCAGCCATGACATGAGCCCAGAGAGTCTACAGCCATGACATGCCCAGTGGGTCTGCAGCCATGACATAAGCTCAGTAAGTCTGCAGCCACGGACATGAGCCCAGTGAGTCTACAGCCATGACATGAGCCCAGTGAGTCTGCAGCCATGACATGAGCTCAGTGGGTCTACAGTCATGACATGAGCTCAGTGGGTCTACAGCCATGACATGAGCTCCAGTGGGTCTGTAGCAAATGACATGAGCCCAGTGAGTGTGCAGTCCAGCGACATGAGCCCAGTGGGTCTACAGCCATGACATGAGTTCAGTGGGTCTACAGCCATGGACATGAGCCCAGTGGGTCTGTAGCAGCCATGACATGAGCCCAGTGGGTGTGCAGCCATGACATGAGCCCAGTGGGTCTACAGCCATGACATGAGAGCTCAGTGGGTCTAAAGTCAAGACATGAGCTCAGTGGGTCTGCAGCCATGACATGAGCTCAGTGGGTCTGCAGTCATGACATGAGCTCAGTGGGTCTACAGCCATGACATGAGCCCAGTGAGCCTGCAGCCATGACATGAGCTCAGTGAGTATGCAGCCATGACATGAGCTCAGTGGGTCTGCAGCCATGACATGAGCCCAGTGAGTCTACAGCCATGACATGAGCCCAGTGGGTCTACAGCAATGCCATGAGCCCAGTGGGTCTACAGCAATGACATGAGCCCAGTGGGTCCTACGGTCCCGTGACATGAGCTCAGTGGGTCTACAGCCATGCGACATGAGCCCAGTGAGTCTGCAGCCATGACATGAGATCAGTGCGCCAGCAGCCATGACATGAGCTGAGTGGAGTCTGCAGCAATGACATGAGCCCAGTGAGTCTACAGCCATG